AACCAGCCATGCAGCCTCATGCAACAAGGAAACAAGAAAGGAGATGCGCGAGAGTTCGGATGCCTTGCGCCTCTCCTCGATCTTGGCCTGAGCGTCTCGTATGCACAACTCGTGAATCGGTGCGCCTGAGTGCTGATGCCCCGCAGTGAAGCCAGGCCTGGAGATCCAGGTACCGCTGCTGTTCAGTCCCGAACCTCAGCGGCCGAGGACGTGAACCTTTCGACTCCCGCACGGTGCCCTGCACTGCACTGAGCCATGCGAGCCCAGGAGCCAGCGCTGCAGCAGCTGGCCATGGACCTTGTGCCACGTGAGGGCCTCGGATGGACCGTGCGGACTCCGTGTGCCGGAGGCCTTCTGCCGGTGCTTCAGGTTTACATCCTCTCACACGCCACACATCGAAACAGAATCCTGACCTGTGCGCGGGCGGCTGTCCTGCCTGGTTCTGCAACCCAGCCGTCAGGTCGAAGAGCTCTACGCACTTCGTCCGAAACCCTCCAGCTACAAGACTACGTCCGCCAAGAACTGGATTACGAGGCACTCGGGGCCTTTGTCCTTCACTTGCCAGTTGCACGCACAATCTTCAAGCGGGACCGCAACAGAAGCGAAAAGAGCAAAGTCACGAGGGGTGGTCGGATCTTCTGAGTCAGGCAAAGGTCAGCAAGCCCGAGGCTGCATGAGTCGTTGCATTTCCCAAGAACTCTGCGAATGATTGGTTTGCGCAAGATGTCTATGTGAGCCACATACCAGTACACATCTTGCCCCAGACATCAGACATCATCAGGGTGCGAGGCTGTACATGTCCTGCTTTTGCCAAGAACTCTGCGATTGGTTGCCGCAAGATGTGTACTAGTTACTAGTATGTGAGTCACATACAGCAAACCAATCGCAGATTTCTTGGCCGAAAACCCCAGACCTCGTCAAGGTGCGAGAATACCTGTGTCTTTGTAGTTTGGCTTTTTCTGCGATTGGCTTGTGCATCATGTGCATGTGGGTCACATACAGCAAGCCAACCGCAGAGTTCTTAGCAAAATCCACACCTCGTCAAGATCCGTCGGGTCAAATGCGCGATGTTGACGTTTCCGCATTTGAGCTTGCCAACATACCTTTTTTTCCCTTCTTAGTGTCGGATTTCGCGCTCTTCCGAAGCTTCCCACAGCATTCCACGGAAGTGTCTCCCTTCGAAGGCTCGAGGACCCATGGCTTCTTGAGCTTGAGCTCTTCCCACCAGGTGCACGGCCCGAGAAAGTGTGGACAGGCCCAGGCACAGGGTGTTCGATTCAAGGTTTGGTCCTTACTTGAGGTGCTCCTCTTTCTGAAAACTCCGGGCTCCATGCTGGCAAGAGTAGTTGACGCCGGCTTTGAATGCAGAGCGTGTGGTCTCATGCATGGGTTTTAGATACCAAGTAACTTGAGGTGTGATCTGCACAATCAACACACTCAAGCTGCCAGCGGTGCTGCTTCCGGGAAGCAGTCGGATTGACAAGTCATCGAAAGCCAGATGCCGGTCAGCAGCTTCTGAGTCCCCAACCCACTCATCAGTTTCAAGCTGAATCCTCAATGCGGCCGAACTTGCTGTACTGCGCCATGTTTGAAGTTTGCTACACAAGATCACCATCATCATCATCACCATTGTCGCCATCATCATAACCATCATCATGACATCATCCGCAGCAGTAGCAATGTCCAGCATCGTCCGCAGCTAGAGACTTGCTGCAAATAACACTGAGACTTGACTTGTGCGACTGGCATCTTGGCTCTTGCCGAGTTTCCAGTAGTCATCCGTGACCTTGCCCTTGGCTTTAATCACCTCGTCGCACATGATCCGGCGAGTAATCGGCCCGTCCTGCGACTTGCTCCGCGGCTTTACAAGTAGTAACTAGAGCTTGCAGTAGTTTGCAGATCAGCCGCTGCATGCACTGCATGCTATCCTCTGCGGGCTTCTTCCGGATCACCATTGCTGGCTTGAACACCTCGGTCACGAGAGGCTCGGCAACAGGAGAAACTTTGCTGGGCCGGGCGCCAGGCGCAAACCCACTGGTTTTGATAGTTGTTGGTGGAGATGAACTCATCCACCCACTTCTTTTCCTCGGTCAGATCGCTGGCAGAGCTTGCATCGTCCAGGGGCATCAAAAGCTAGAAGACTCCCGCCAGACAGCCCAAAACTCGCGAAGCTTGCGGCAAGCTGCTGCTTGTAGCTGAAACTCGAAGGTGGAGCGCAGCCTTTGGCCACAAACTGCTGCACACAAACTCAACTTGGCAAAAGGTACTTGACAAGGCGTCGTCGCACGGAGGGAGGACGGGGTAATGACCCGAGTACACTCGGATACTTGCGAGCGTTCGGAAGGGCGCTGTCGCCTTACGAAAACGAGGCAACGCGAGGCAACGTGAGGCCCGAGGCCGAACTCGAAACTCGCTTGCAAACGGCCCGCGGCGCTCTCGAAACCCCCGCATCGTAATCGACAAGTCTGCATGACAAAGAGCAGTACCCTGTACCTGCAAAGAGAGCGAGAGACTTCGGAACCGATAGCAAGCGCACCGGACGGCACGGGACGAATCGAGCAATCTACGCTCGTGCAGAGTCTTCGAGTGCACAGTGCGGGCAGTATCGCAAAGTCATTTCCTTGGGTTTACTAAGTACGCAACGACCGGATAGCGCCCTCCAGTGTTCAAGCCTACATGTCCGGTAGTAAGCATTTGCAATGTTGTGGACACTGCAGCATGAAGCCGAGACAGTTCTCTGGTAGACATAATGTCTTTCTGCATTCATGTTCCTTCCTGAGTTGCCCAGTGCCATCGAGCCACCCATTCATCTCGCGCTCGACACGCTCCAGCTCCCGCTTCTTGTCCTTCTCCAGAAGATCTCGGAGGAGGCCTTCCTCCTCCTCCCGCTCCCCCTGCTGGCGCTCCTTCCTCTCAGACCACCTTCGCTTCGCCGCGTCCAGCTCGCCTCGGAAAAAGCAGCAGAACGATCAGCTAGTCGCTGAGTCTTATCTGAGACAAACGACAACCAGACAAAAACCGGCGGTTTCTTTGCAGAAGATTGGCTCTGCTTCTCCCGTATGAGTCGGGTCAGCTCCGCCTCTTCGTCTCCCTCCTTCCCACCTTCCACCCTCAACTCCGCGGTCGCTTGGCCCGGCTGGCCAGCAAAGGTTGGCGATTGCTCCACCGGGGATCTCAGCTCCTCCTCGTCCGCTGAGTCTGGAAATCCTTCCGGAGGGCCCAGGTTGAAGCGAAGGAGAAAGCTCTCCACCTCTGGCCGCGGCTTCCGGACACGCCTCTGCTTTGTGAGCTGTCCTGCGCTCGCCTTGAAAACTTCCTGGGTCTTTGCATTCGCCCGTTCGTCCTCGCTCTCGCTCGCCAGCTCCTCGTCGGCAAGAGCCACATGGCCTCACAGACGCAAGGGCAAGTGTAGATGTGCTCATGCCCAGAATCCCTCTCCTCCCTTTGGCCAAGGTGCCTGCGTTTGGCAGGGCCTGTCTCAGGAGCCCGGTGTTGCAGCACCAACCATAGCCTTGAGGATTTAGCTGGGCATGATGGCCCAGGGCTGCCGCGGCTTTGCCGAAAGCAACCGGATCCGTTCCCGGCGACGACTCCCAGATGACTGCCACTGAGGCCAGCCCCAGGCGCAGTCCCCCACGCTCTTTGGCATCTCCGGCTACGAACTTCCGCACAGGGAATCCAGCAGCACGAGGGTTTGACATGCTAACCCTAAGGTGTGCTTGGTGGTTGTAATTCTTCAGATGTCGCTTCGCCACGACATCCTTGCAGCAGGGTGCATTCATTGATGGCACCAGTGGATTGCCATCCAACTGTACATGGACCGTCACACCAAGGGGCCCACGACGAGTGAGTTCTCCGGGCACCGGCAAACCCTCACCATCGATCACAAAAGTGACATTGCACGCCTTGTTCGGCGCCAGCTTCAGCAAAGGGTTCTGGAATCGTATTAACACCATACTTCCTTTGAACGTCGGCGACCACGCAGACAGAACCGGGTCCGTGGCCTTTGCACGGACCGTCAGCGGCATCGCTAGCTGTAGAGCACCGGTCTCTTTGTTGGACTGCCGGAGAAATGCATGCGGCTTATGCCTGAAGACCACGACCAAGTCACCTGGAGTGGTGTTAAAGCTTGGCCAATGGCCATCTCCTTCCAAGCGGTACTCGCTCCCGTCGGCCTGGCACGGGCCCCGCAAGAGAGCAAGAGGGCAACGCAACTACGTGGCTAGACGAAGCCACCTGGCCCGGGTCGATCTTGATATTCACGGTCTTGAGGTTCTGATTCGTCCCCCCGAAGGCTCGCTGCATCCGATCCCGCTTGACCTCTCGGATCTTCAAGCCACCTCACAGTCAAGAAGATGTCGGCTGCAATGTCTGAGCCCCGAAAAAAAAACAGTGACAGCACCTGGCGCCTTGAACAGTATACGATAACATACGATAACAGCATACAGTATTAGCATGATGGCAGTTCAATGAACGCACTTCTACGACGCTTCAGCCGGTTCCCACCTCTCAGCGCCTTCTCCAGGGAGATCTTGATCTCAAAGCGGAGGGCCGCGGCCTTCGGCAGCTTCGGAGCCTTGGACTTCAGCAAGTTCTGAACCTCCTGGCCGCGGGCGCTTCCGACTGGGTACCTAGTAGTACGAGTAGTGGTAGTAGTAGTAGTAGTAGTAGTAGTAGTAGTAGTAGTAGTAGTATTAGTAGTAGTAGTAGTAGTAGTAGTAGTAGTAGTAGTAGTGGTAGAAGTAGTAGTGGTAGTAGTGGTAGTAGGAGGAGGAGTACCAGCAGTGCAGTATGTCCACGAGCAAAGCCACGAGTTTTGTGGCGCGTTTGTGGGCTCGTCCTGCGCGTTGACACCTTCGCTTCGGCCCTCCTTCTTCCCGGACCAGCGACCCCAGAAGTTCGAGTCACTGTTCGTCTTCTGCGAGTAGAAGGAGGAGTTCATCCCCTGCAAAGCAAATCGGAGCAGTAGCCCCCAAGCCTTCAAATCTCCAAGCCAGACCCTGCCTGGGACTTGGCTCTTGCCTCGTCGAAGCGGGCGCGGTCGTACTGCCGCCGCGTGGCGCGATCTGAGAGGATCTCGTAGGCCTCGGTTTGGGAGGGCTCAGGGATTTGGGCTCGTAGAGTCTGAGGACTCCGTGAGGCTCGACTCATATATAATATATACAATGTATACATAATATACATATACAATATTTATATATATATATATAGATAATATAATATTCCGAAGTGCGGGCCTCCTGGATCTTCTCGAACTCGTCCTGCATCTCCCGTAGCTTGTCGGGCTTCTTGTCCCTGTTCTTGTCCGGGTGGTACTGGAGGGCCAGGCGCTTGTAGGCACCCTTGATGTCCTCCCGTCTGCAAGGTTTAGGGTTTAGGGGTTTAGGGGTTTAGGGTTTAGGGTTTAGGGTTTACTGTTTAGGGTCGTCTGCAAGCGGAGGCAGGAGGAGGAAAGCATCGGATTACGGATTACCTGAGTAGCCCTCATCGCCACGAGTTCTTCTTTGTGCCTACCTACTACTTACGGAGAAAACAGCAGAGACGGAAAGCATCCGTCAGCCACCACTACAATCCAAGGGCAAAAGGTATGCTGCCCCTCCAATAAAGGCTGAATTAGAAGCCATGACCTTAACCCTAGGATACCATGGTGCATGTCGACCCCGGAATGCCCAAGTCCTTGACCGATGCGAAGTCATCCACCTCTAGCAGCCTGTAGTAGTCATTCTTCGAGTCGAACTTCCGGATGGGTGCCACCTTGAAGTCCTCCTCATCGTTCGGCTCGTAGCCGGGATCTGTTCCTTATATGAATACGAGGGACTAGACCGCAGGGGATTGTGGCAGGAGGGCCGCCGGTGTTGCCTTAATCCTGCCCGGCAGCGTTTGCGGATCAGATTCCGGATCTTCGTAAGCTCTTCCTCGATGTCCTGGGACTTGACAAGGGCCTTATACAGGCCCGTGTCTTCCCACTTCACCTTCGGGCCGGTGTAAACATCCAGGTACTCGTTCTTCTTGGGGCGCTCCTTTGCCTCGGCTCAGCTTTGGCAAGGCCTCCAAATCTACGGAAGCCGGCTTCCACGTCTTCTGACCAAAAAAGGGCAAGCTGCGAGCTGCGCCTCCTCCTGGCGCGACGACGAATGCGTGGGGAGCCCCTGAACCAAGCCTCTAGACTCTAGCCCTTCACAAGCTAGAGCAGACTCCCATGCACCCGAACTTAGGCGTGGGTTGTGCGGGTGCTTGAGGAAGACTTGTTTAAATGGGAGGGAGGTCTGAGAGGGGCCGTGGTGCAAGCATCTAACCCATCACGTGAGTCATCGTGCATCAGCAGGCAACGCAAGACGGAATGTCGAAGTGAGCCAAAGATTTAAACAAAAAACATGAGCACCAAAGAAACCAAACAAGCAACCAACAAACACGAATTACAACTCAAGAACAGCAGCGCCTGGTGACCATCCCGACATGATATGCATAGATACTTGCGGCAGCCACACCACAACATATTGCACAACTGCAACCCCTGCTCGCTTTGAACAGGCGAGCATCTGCAGCTTACTTTTGACTCAACCGGGCCTGCTGCTTCGCCAGCTGGGCATCGAAGGTGACCAGCTGATTTCCAGTCGGGGCTGGCCTCTCCTCGTCACTGCGTCGGCTCGCTTGGAAGCTGAGGGAAGGGGAGTCCGGGCTTAATCACTCGATGCCGGTGTCATGTTCAAAGCTCCGTCCTTGGGCTTCTGGCCATTGGGCCGGTGCATGCAGGGCCTTAGCGACTCTGCATGGACGCGTCTCCCAAGATGTCAAAGGCCTGGTAAGGTCTGCACCGGCAGCTGGCCCTGGAAAATTAGTGGAAAATCAGGGGGTCAGGCACACACGCCCTCAAAGATCTTCTGTCAATATGAGCAGAGCTAAATGCAGTAGATTAAGCAGATAGCATGACTGGTCATGGCTTTGGTTTGTTCAGTCTTTGACCGATCCAGCACATACGAAACTTCAACGCGATGAAGCTTTGTCTAGATGCAGTCGACCGGTGCTGAAGGCAGGCTCAGCACCACTGACAGCTTTAAGCAAGAATTTGCTTGGAGCCGCAACGCTCGGGCGGCACAGGTTCCACACTCAGGGCGGAATGAGGCTTAGCAACGTAGTCTCCCCTGTCGTGAAGCTGCTCTGTGCACAAACTCTTACATGCTTTGGGAGCTTGGTTTCAACGGATGATTTTAGGATCTGTTTGTTGAGTCGTCCCGTTTCGTCCAACGGCGCGGGGGGTTTCCAGCTTCAAGTGACAGACTGAACATTGGCCTGACGTGCCTGAGCAAGCTGGAAAGGCCAGTCTTCCACCCGAAGATCTGGAATCAGGAGCTAGTGATGTTGGAAAACAGCCTTGCCCTATCTACGAACGAACCGAGATTTGACGAAGTAGTGCAAAAGCCTTCAGAGATGCTCGAGGGAAGCATCTCGGGTTCACAGGGACGGGTGCTTTCCAAGGGCTATTTCGGAACGATAGCCTTGCTTCTCAGGATCGGAAATTGACAGCACATAATATATAATCTGTAATACATAATATTTAATATATAGTATATAACATTAACTAAATTTGGAAACCCTTTGAGACGAAGGCTCCGAAGCAGCTGGGACACCTTGACTCTCCGCCCTTCCTGACTTCTCTGCGATTTCCCATGGCAAAGACAATCGCGCGGCTTAGCTTCTGCTTGACAAGCTTTGGTCAAAAAATGTGGCTCAAGCTGGCTTTGCCATGCCAGGCTTCTCGTTTACTGCACTGCCGCCCAGCGGAAGCCTTGAGAGCACCCCATGGGCCCTAGCAATCCGGAAATGGGTTGGGCGGCTGCACAAAGTGTGGTTAACATCGGCCCCGTCTGTGCCCGCACCATCAGAACACGCCGGGTGTTTCCGACGGATAGGTTTCGGGCGCTTCAGGGCCTGTGAAACACCTCCTACCATGCATGCTCCAATGCAAGCGCTGACGACAGCTCGCTCGTGGATGCAAGTAGTCGGGCTCGCACAGAGTCCACCTGCCTCGCTCCACGAACAGGTGTGCAGACCAACAGAAAGCAGTGAAGCTGAGAGGTGCGACGGAAGCAATCGACTTCACTGCGCATGGATCTTCACATCTTTGCTTGCATTCACGATCATCTACACGGCTTCACTTCCGAAGTGCAGCCCAGCCCGGCATTGCCTCTAATCAGCTGCCAGCTACCAAAGCGGAGGGCGGAGCCTGGATCGAGGCTAGTTTAACGAGAGTGTCGGAAGGATGGTCGTGAAATCCTTCGCGCCGAGCGACGCCGTGTGACGCCGAGCCCGCCGAGCGCCGAGCGACGCCGAG